TTGTAGATTACTTTTCAAAATTTGTTCTGGGATACTTTGAGTCCACTATATAGGGTATAATGATTCTCACCATACATTCACTGTTACTCAGTGTCTGAGTGACAGCTCAATGCCCCAAAGGCTGTTCTGTTTTAACAAAAGCTATCACACACAAACACACAGAGTACAGGCTAACATAACTTCCCTAGCAATCGTTATAGATAAGTTTGCTAATATTATTAGTTAGGTAGTTCAGCAGGTAGGCAGGTAGCTTTGGCAGTTGAGTTCAAATATCACCAATCCTGCAGAGTCATTTACTCTCCCTTTAAGTCACATGACTTATATCAGGTACTTACTGTAACCCAAACAGCAATGTTTTCCTAAGCCTAATTAAATAGTTTTGTTGCCTAAACCCAACCAAACTGTGACAGTTTCCCAACGTTAACCATGTGTTTAATGTCACTGGTAAGTGTCATTTTGAAAGGCAATGATTAAAATATTTTGTTTAGGTATGAGGACATGTTGAGTGCCAGATATTTCCCTTAGGTGTCGGTGGATACCAAAACGGAGCTATAGTTAACTTACATTCACCAGGTGGCCAGAAACATGACTCCAAATGAAAGTTAATGCTGTTCCTTATCAGCTGGATGTGAAAATATCACCTTAAAAATTTAATATGTCAATATTGTGTTTACAGGTTCTTTCTGAAGCTCCCAACAGGCCAAAAGCTCATGGATTTAATACTTTTTACACTACTGATGTTAAAGTATATTGTAAACACTGAACGTTAGCACAAAGTAAGACATGTATAAAAAGGAGGTGAACAGCTAAAAATAAAATCAGCATCACAACTCCCCTTCTTCCGGACAGAAAATCGCCATGTGATTACAGGTGACTGTTGGTCTCATGGTAGTCAGGTCCGTTTTGTGTTCTCGTCAGGCTCTGCAGCTGGTTGTAGGGCAAATTAATTATTATCTGGCTCTGAATCAGCCAATAGCATGGCAAAGCGATAGCAGATGATGCTATCGCTGTTCTGGACTGCAGGGATTCCACTTGAGGTATCGTGACACCTTAAAACCATGAGGGGTAGCACAGAGAAACACTTCAACTGAACTGTAATTTGAAGCTCTGCACTGCTGCCTGAGTAATTCATCTGTGCCTGTAGAGTTGATTTGCATAGTGTTTGCACAAGTGAGCATTCACTGAACCACCTGCTAAGTCTTTGTGATTACCGCTGTCTTTATAGGACTAAATGGTGCATGAAGGGGATTCCACCCACTGACCATTAGGCTGTTATTCTGTCCATTGTGCTGCAAGAAATTCCACCATTTCTGCAACAGAAATTGCAGAAATGAAAATGATTAACATGCTTAAATAGATTTTTAGAAATAAAATAATTTAATTACATGGATCATTTCATTTATTTAGTCTGTCGAAAAAAGATGTATCATCTGTTTTTTTTTTACACTGTTTTTTTTGGGGGGGGGGGGCTTTTGATGGAGACAGTTGATATCTTTTTCAATCCACAAAGAAATTCAGTCACAGAAGGCATTAAGTCTCAACTTTTTCATCCTCTCTGCTGTGCTGTTATTCCCCGCGAGGAAGATCTGTCCAGAAAATCTGATGCAGTTGAGAAACATGATGGGGAACTTTTGCACTTCACTTCGCCCTGTTTATTTCTCTGATGATGGGTTTGGAATTGTTCTTTCAGTTCAGTTCTCAGCGCTGATTTGCTCATTGCACTATTGTCTCAATCTGTCTATATTGTTTTTGTTTATAGTCTGTGTATATGTGTTCTCTATACTGAAGCCTGTGTGTGATTTTATTATTGTATTATTATTGTATAAGTAAGTACATCATGAGCAATGTACAATCCTGAGTCAAATTCCTCATATGTCATACCATACATATAATTGTTTTGATCAAGTGAATAATGAGGCTGATGATAGGTGATGATGCAGATGACTCTTCCGTGCATAAGATGGAGAAACAGGTAAAATGAATGAGTAAATGTAGTAAACCTTAAATTTGGGCTTTTTCTCGTTGATTCATTTCAATTAAACTCATTCTGCTGTGCCACCTTGGCTGCAATTTCAAGTGTCTCCAGCTGGGGAGGAACATAATTTAGAAGTGGCAGATTAGGAAACCGTTAAGAGCCGTCAGTGTTCAGCCACAGCCTCCTCCCCTTCCCTATTTATTCATCTTTTTTTTCCCTCACCCCTCCCTCTCTGCCCCCCTCCCCACTGTACTCTCCCCATCTCCCAGCCCCTCAACACAAACACATCAGAGACAGACAGCCTGCTTTAGAGGCCCGTCTTGCAACATGCTGTGTGTGTAACAAGCATTTTTCGAGCCCCAAAAATGCTTCTTGCTCTCTGATTTCACAAAAAAAATTGTACTTCAGAATGGTCTTGCTTATGCCCAATATAGCATAAAACATTTCACACATCTTTGCGTGTATGTGTCTATTCTGGAGCATTTGAAGCCTGTGTGGAATGAAAGTAATGATTTCATAATGTAGACAGCCACTCAAATAACAACTGACTGTAAATGGAGAAGGATCAATTTTAAATAAGATGCATTATGATGCTTTTCATGAGGGATCCCTGCTAAAATCAATCACTGTAAATCACTCGCAATATTCAGCACCGAAGACAGTTCCATAACTGCACGGCCCTCAGGTTGGAAGGGGAATTTGAAAAGTTTAACTTCTACAGGTCGCTGTTACAGACGCCTTTTGTCATGGCAGACAGCTTTTTCTCTCTTGCTGATGCTTTGGAGAGCATAGCACTGAAATATTGATGATAATTATTATGATGGATGTGGGACTGCAATAATCTGCCCATTGATTTGAGACATGATAAATGCTGCTTTCAAACCAAAACCACGTTAAAACCTGATCGAAAGGACAACACCAGAATACATTGAAACAGAGGCCACTTGACATATACTATCTGAATTAATTATAGATGAATTCCACAAGCAATAGTCATTAATGAGACCTTTCACTTATCTGTCTGTCTGTGTAAAATATCTTCATAAAAAGCACATATTGGTCATACTGTTCTTCCACAAGTGATCAATTGCTTCTTGAATCTGCTTCAAGTGCGGCATAACAAGTGTTCAGTAATTAGTTGGATGACTCCTCAGCCTCTTCTGTTCTGCCAGAACTGGAGGCATCATGTGCAATGCCTTTCATTGTTTTCCCATGATGCTGCATCGCCAAATGCCATGTATTTTCCACAACCAGATACATGTAATTTGGGAGATAGCTCTGCTGGGAGTGCATAGTGGAAATAATTGCGCAGCTGCGCAGGACAGGAAAAGGACTCTAAATAGTGTGTGCATGTGACCTCCAACTGCAGTAAATAAATAGATAAATAGTGGAGGATGTTCAGAATGGACTTTCAGTTGCTCTGTGATGTTAAAATTGTGCTAAAATTATACAGTATGGTGTTTTGTTTTTTTTTCTTTTACTACCAGCATGATATTACTGTAACATTCATATTTTAAAGGCTTCTTTTACTTAAGTACAAGTAGCAACACTGCAATGTAAAAACACTATGTTACAAGTAAAAGTCCTGCATGCAACATTTTTGTAAGTAAACATATATAAGTACATACACATGTAAGTATTAGCAACAAAATGTACTTATATCAAAAGTAAAATTAAACTCATTAAGTTAAATGTGCCTTTTCAGAGTGATTTATATTTTATGTTACTGGATTATTATTACTGATGTATTAGTAGAGTGCTACATACCACTTTAATTGATATGTGCACGAAAATGTTAAATAATGGTCAGGTAATCGTGAGTTAAGAGGGATTACTCAGCAACTTCTCAATATAAGTAGCTCAAAATAAAGTTTTTAAAAAAGTAAAATTAGTTACTTTCCACCACTGTCCAAAATGTAATTGTTGTTTTGCTGTGATGTTTGTATAAAAATACAAATAATCTGAATTTATGGCAAGATTATTACAGTCATTTCTCACTTTACAGCTCAAAAAAATATATTCAACAATCACTTCTAATTTTACGAGAATTACTTATATGATTTAACCGCTACAGAATATTGCACATTATTTCTGTTTCCCAGCTGCAAGACATGAGTAAATACAATCAATTTCCATGCGCCATATCCGTGATTGGATTTGACAGTTCTTTTTAGGCTGCACTACCTCCTTCAAATCCCAAATAAGTTTATTTGTATTACAGTCATTCGAGTTTTACATGTAGTATGTGTTATAGTATGTATGCTGTAGTTTGATAAGAGGTGTAACAGGGAGTAAAACAGTTTTTCTTACTGTCACTTCATTAGTTTTAGAACATCTCACCAAAGGACTGCAGTTGAAAATGAACCAGCTGGCTAACACTGGCACATTTACAGAAATGTTAATTGATGTGTGTTGTCCTTATAAATAAAGAAATTACATAAAACTTCTTTGCCGCTTATACATTTATAGCGTGACTGTGTAGGATAACAAAGGCTACTGTACATTTCTTTGACTGTGAATGACCTTTTGAAGAAATAAATTAATATTTTTGTTCATGCATAGCTATTTATATATATCCTTGTAAGTATAATTTTCCTTTTTTTTCTCTCCTTCGTTTAGTGCTACCTCTGTTTCATTTTCTTGACTAATTTCTAATTTATACTTGCATATCTGTTTATACATTATCTTTGTGTGTAGCCATGAGGGAGCTACAAATGCATTCCAGTTGTGCAATCCAGTATTGACTGGATATTGACAATAAATCATATTGGGATTGAATCAGGTCAAAGGATGAGCAAATGTTGACATTAATATTGCAATTATTATTGTTGGGACACTGAACAATGAGGAAGTGAAGCCAGTCTCGCATATAAACATGGATTAAGGCTGGTTCCCATGTCTTGCCCGCCGCAGCTGTTGTTCCTTGTATAAATAGGTGTGGATGATGCTCAGGGATGCACTTCCTCCTGCGCTCGAACACCTCAGATCACGTGACCAGGAGGCGCACAAAACAGGAGCCTTATAACCGCCCGCTCCCGCAAACACGCGCTCCCCACCGGCTGCCTGGCTGCTTTAATGTATTTGACATTGACAGTAGCCTATCTGGGGAGTTAACACCCCACCATTCCCCCGGCAAGTCATCCGAACAACAACACTTCACACGGGCAGTTCTGCAGGGTTTTTTTTGGAGTTGCTGTAACTGTCGGTGAAGAGAGTGAAGAACAACAACAGACTGGTTTACTCTCAGTTTAGCTCAATGATCTTTTTTTTTTTTTTTTGCGTTATGGATCGGGGCAAGATGTTTGTGCTGAGAAGATCAAGGTACATATTTAATAAATATATTTTTATTATTTTTAAAAAATCTTCATTACAGGTTTCTTTTCTATGTTATTTTATTTCGTTAAGTCGTGTTTTTTTATTCTTATGGGTCTTATTGTCCAATGTATCAATGTATTAGCATAGCTTTGATCCAAACTGTTCTTTAGGCACAACATTAAGGCTTTTTAGTCTCTCAAACTAAAACGTCGTGTCATGTTTAATTGTTTGCCAACGCTGTTTGTCCTCCCCAGAAACATATTCCTCCAAAACATCCATGTAAAACTAGCTGTTAATAATTAATATCATCATTACTGGCATCAAAATGTAAATGGATCATTTGACAGACATGTGCTCTCTTTATCTTGTTTCTCCCTTGATGCCCAATTAATCCAATGATTATTGAGAGAGAAAAAACAGCTTAATGCTTAATGACCTCCTTTAATTAATAAGAAAGCCTGGCTGTCCTACATACTTAATGCAATGATTTCCCCTGAGGCTGCACAGGTTTGTCATCAACTGTTCAGTTTCCCACTATTGTCTGGGATGCATCTGCTCTGGAGTCAGCTGGCTGATACACATATTCCCAGTATCTCCCAGCAACAAATTCATTTTCACCAATTTAATCATTAATAAAAATTGATGCGGCTTTATGTATTCAGATATTTTAAGGATTAAATGTAACAAGATGTATTTAATAATTTGTGAACAAATGATTGTATTCTTTATGGAAAAAAATCACATGTTTTTCTTCATAGATGTCCTTTTGCATGGGTCTAATGCTGTTCCACCACACAACTCTCCACTAAGCATCTCTACCTGCCACAAACCAGCCATGAAGTTGGCTTTGCACAGGATAGCAGGCACCACGATGAGCGCGTTAACAACAGGTGTCCAGTATCTTGGCTCCAACGACGCCAGCTACGACGGCCCCTCAGTTGACTCAACTCTAATCAAGAACAGATTTCCCTTTGAGAAGCCTCACTCTGCTTCGGTTAGTAACTCTAGACTCATCCTGGGAAATAAAGAGGTCCTGTACAGCAGCCTCTCTCCCATTTTCCCCACCAATGTATCAGACTTTCTGCTGAGCAATGGCACATCTGTGGAGAGTGGAGGGGCGACTCAGTGTAGGGACAACTTTGCGGACAACATGGAGTGTTTTATGATCCTCACTCCAGGTCAGCAGCTCGCCATCGCCATCTTGGCACTCACCCTGGGTACATTCACGGTGCTGGAGAACCTCATGGTGCTGTGTGTGATTCTACACTCCCAGACGCTTCGATCGCGGCCTTCCTACCACTTCATAGGCAGCCTGGCTGTGGCTGATCTGATAGGCAGCATAATTTTTGTGTACAGCTTCCTGGATTTCCATGTCCTCCACAGGAAGGACAGCCCCAATGTTTTCCTCTTCAAGTTGGCCGGGGTCATCGCCTCCTTCACCGCCTCTGTTGGCAGCCTGTTTCTCACTGCGATCGACCGCTACATTTCCATCCACAGGCCCTTGGCGTACAAACGCATCGTCACAAAGACTAAAGCAGTCATTGCTTTCAGCGTGATGTGGACCTTCTCTATCGCCTTCTCGCTGCTGCCGCTGCTGGGGTGGAATTGCAAGCGTCTCAACTCTGTCTGCTCAGACATTTTCCCTCTAATTGACGAGAAGTACCTGATGTTCTGGATTGGGATGACAAGCATCTTGGTCCTGTTCATCATCTACGCCTACATGTTCATTCTCTGGAAGTCCCACCACCATGCTGTCCGCATGTTGAGCCGCAGCTCCCAGAGGAGTGTGATTGTCTACACTGCAGAGGGGACTAAAGTGCAGACAGTGAGGCCCGAGCAGGCCCGGATGGACCTCCGTCTGGCTAAAACCCTGGTTCTGATTCTGGTTGCCCTAATTATCTGCTGGGGCCCACTTCTGGCCATTATGGTTTATGACCTCTTTGGGAAGGTGAACGACTTCATCTTGACCGTGTTTGCCTTTTGCAGCATGCTCTGCCTGCTCAACTCCACTGTGAACCCTGTGATCTACGCCATGCGGAGCAAGGACCTGCGCAGGGCCTTCCTCCACATCTGCCATATGTGCCGGGGAGCGACGCAGCCTCTGGACAACAGCGCAGAGAGTGACTGGAACAGCCGGAGTGTGAGAGGAACAGCGGGCAGGGCGGTGAAAGATGGAGCCGGCTGTGGAAAGACACGATTAAAAGTAGCCCAGGTTATCATTTCTGGAGTGACAGACACATCTACTGCACAGCCGGTCTAAGAGACAAGCTGCTCTGGTACAACTGTGAAGTAAAGATATTGTAGAATAGCCCCGACCCTCCTAGTGCACTATTGCTGTGAAATGTGCCAAAAAATGAATTAGATACAGAACTGAAAAACAAGTTTTGTTGCTTTAAAGCTGAAAACTGTAATATTTATAAATTAATATACCCAGCTGAATGGTGGAGTGTGATGAGACTCTAAAAACTGTGCATTTTTGTAGAAGAACATGCTCTTTTTGCTCTGTTATTGAGAAATGTTATGTTGGGTTTGCACATGTGTGACTGTAAATAATATATTTGCATTTACAAGAACCAGTTGGCTCAAGGGCAATTTTTCTCCAACTACTGTTAAAAACACTATGCTGTGTCATCTTTACCGTGGTTTCAAGGTGCATAAAGTTACAGATTTCAGCTTTAATGTATGACACTTACATTTGTTCTTTCTGTTTTTTTTTTTTTTTTTACATTACATCAATATTGTGGCAGTAACGCAAGGTGAAACTGTGTCTAGCTTCATGTAGAATGTCAGTTTTGAATGACAGCACACCGCTTGTAAGTAAAATTAGCAGCCCATGAGTAATTTGAAATCAGCCACTGATGATTTTGTAAAATGATGATATTGTGAAATTTGGCATATTAATGTTATTTTACTTTATTTATTGCATATTTTTTAAACATGTACTTTGCAAAGCAAAATGGTGAGTCATACTTTGGAATATGAACGGCTTTTTGATTAAATCAGAACTTTGGTCTGTAGTGATTTGGTAATGTTACATAGCTGTTTATGCTCATGAAACAGTTACAGCATTTTGTGAGATGCTACACTTCTGTATTTTTGTGAGGCACCCATTGTGCCATTGTGTCTCATAACAGTGTGTATGCAAGGACATGAGTTCAATAAATATAAGAAATTTGGTTTTTGTATTTTTATCATAATTTTGTCAACATACCAGGTATAATTTTTTTTCAATAAAACCATGAAATCTCAGCAAACCATCAGCACCTGTGGCTAAATTACTATACACAAGATATTTTATTTCTTTTAAAGGTCAAAAAAAGGTGTTTGAGTGTGTGTGTTTATAGCCGTGAGCCCTAACCTTTTTGGCTTGTGGGCAAAGACCGCTTCTCACAGGCAATAGTCTTAATGTGCACACGAATAATGAGCATTTTTCACAACAAAAAAATGTGAGAAAAGTTAGTAAAAAATACTTTGTAAATAATAGATATTTATGTCTTACTGTTGTGATTTCAGAACTACTGCTTCAGAAAGTGAAGTTATCTGTTAAGGGCTGTGTTTTTGTGTAACACTGCTGCCCTCCTGTGGATATAAAAGAGACGTCATCCATTTTTTGTCTTAATTTTTTCCTTTTTCTCATGGACTGATCATACAATTAAATTGAGTTATAGTTCATCAAGGCTATAATGTAACCAAATAAAATAAAGTAATCGATGTGAATTTAAGATGATGCAGGCTACAATTAGGACAGCATAACAGCGTAAAACGGCGTTTCATTTCTCATCTTTTTTTCAGTTTCACTACATAACCCAGAATTCATTGCACCGTATTTCACGCGTGACATCACAAGCCGGAGAAGCCGACAGCCTCATATCAAAAACAAGCAGCTAAGTTGCGTTAGCTAGCTCCCCTGTCTAACAGCAGACAGTTGGCCCGCAGCCGGCGGATCGTCACTCCAACTTTTGGGAAGCAACTTTTGGAAAGAACACGAGTTGTTTTACTTAGTCAGACAGACCAACCCCCCCCCAAAAAAGGTAAGAAAATATCTTTATTCAAATGTAAACCAGTGCGCACTGTTCTACCATAGTAGCCAAAGCTAACGTTAGCTATGTTTTCTTTTTGATAATTGGCTAGCAAGCATAGCTAACGTTAGCTTGCTAGCAAATATTTAAAGCCTCAGCTGCGCAGTATGCCTAGCATGTCTTCCTCAGCGAATGAAAGAGATTTTAGCTGCAGAAGTCACACCGTAATTAGCAATTCATGTTAAAGAATAGCCATTGTTTGCAGTTATCTAAAATATCTAATGTAACCGCTTCATTATTGTCTTGTTTCGGTATTTTTACTTATTACCCCCCCCCCCCCCCTAAACAAACTCAAGTCATGGCGTGTGGAGCCACCCTGAAGAGGACCATGGATTTCGATCCGCTGATGAGTCCTACCTCCCCTAAAAGACGAAGATGCATCCCCGTACCTCCATCGTCTTCGTCCTCATCCCCTAGGAAGTATCTAAGCATGGAGCCCTCGCCATTTGGGGAGTCGTCGTCAACACTTAGTGCAGGTAATATTACTAAAGTTGGCCTGCTTGGTGACCAGCCAGCGGACTGAGGCATTAGCAACATGTTAAACAACACTTAACAAATCAATATGCTTTATCAAAGAAAAAGTTTAGCTGTGAACTCCCTAACATGACTGCTGCTTTGTCTTCACTAATAGACCTCTTTCTGGCATTTTTTGTTTCTTTTGTCCCACTAGAACAAATCCTTAACAGCATCAAGCAGGAGTACAAACGCATTCAAAAGAGGAAGCATCTAGATGGAGGCTACCAACAGTCAGAGTGCTGCTATTCTCCAGAGTCCCCATCCCAGTCGTCTACTATGAATGTTTCCAGCTTGGCAGGTTGGTTGAGTGACACACTGTCTACTGGAGAGGCTGATCAGAAATCACTGTATGGTCAGGCGATCAGAAATACCCCATATGCCATGATACTTAGGTTTTTGTTTGCTTTATATAGGAACGTCCTCTGGAGGCGTTTCTCCTACCAGAAAAGAACAGCCATTATTCACCCTCAGACAAGTTGGCATGATCTGCGAACGCCTGCTGAAAGAAAGGGAAGACAAGGTGCGGGAGGAATATGAGGAGACCATGACTTCAAAATTGGCAGGTTGGTATACACATTAAGCAAGTATAAACTTTGTTGTGACTCAGAATCGACACAACTGAACCAACAGCTAATCTTAACAGTCAAAAAGTAAGAGTTGAATCCATTAACTGCTTATTTTTTCAACCCCAAAATGATGTTTTATTTTGATTGAGAAATTAATGAATATGGTAAATTTATCATTTAATCTGTAACATTTTAAATTGTGAGAATTTTGTGAGTTATCAGAGCCTGCAGTAATGTCCTAAAATGCCTGACCCAACTGTCAAAAAACAAAAAAAAATATTGGCACTGTATATAATGAACAAAGCAAACACAGCATTACAATTTGAAGGATGTAACAGGCAAATGTTTGGTATTTTTCTTGTTGAATAAATTAAATAATTATCAATATTGTCAAACCGTCTGTCAATCAACTTATTGATTTAGGTTTTTTTTTTGTCCAGCACTAATGTGCATCCATGTCATTCTGTGATAGTTAATGACAACTTGCACTGAGCTGTATTGGATATTACTTCACAAATCCAGATTTAAATATGGGAATAGATGAATATACTACAGTAAATTAGTTATATCTGTGATAAGAGTATGCCCTGTACCATAGTTCAAAGACAATTCTCTGGCAAAATTACAAGACAGAAGACTTAATTCCAAAAATGCACGTTGTCCTTAAGATTTAACAGTAAGTTGTACCACAATAGTAACTCTGGTTTCCTTTAAATTTCAGAACAATATGACACTTTTGTGAAGTTCACACATGATCAGTTAATGCGACGATTCGGGGAGCAACCTGCAAGCTGTGAGTCAATTTTCATTGCATCTTAAATTCTCTTCACATTACCATCTCACTGGCATGTATACGACGTGAGAGAGTCTTGGATCTTGTTTTGAGCTCCGCCTTTTGAAGTTTGAAGTATTTTATTTCATCTCCCTCTTTCTCCAGATGTTTCCTGAGTGTGGCACAGAGATCTTTTGCAAGACAGCCTTCTCCTGCTGCAAGCTATCATGTGATATCTCAAGAAAGGGGGGGGGGGAAGCTCATCATTGTAAGAGATTCAGTTTAGCTAGTTTAAATGAAACTTTTCTTACTGTGCCATATTTCTGTCTTTGGGCAAAGGTTTATATGAAGCTGTTGTCAGTTGTTACCACTCTGTTGTAAGCAACTAGGTGCTTCCTAATGTACATTAATGGACCCTGTCTCTACCAGTGGCCTATGTTCCTCCTGCTGTACGTGTATCTACAGTTATCTCACTTTTGTAATGATTCCCAGCATTCCAGGCTTTGTCACTTGTTTTCTGTTTTGTTACATGTAAATACGATAAAGCAGTGCAGAGTTTTACTTAAGGTTTGCTGGTCAATCTGAAAGGAAGAAACACAGCTGAACAGAGAGACTATGTTTGCAGTTTGTCCTCTGTTCATTGCTTTTTAAATTGAGCATAAAGTGGGATAATTAATTTTTGTTCTCACTACCAGTGTTTTATTTATTTTGACTTGTTTTGCTGGTTATCACTTTCAAACCAATGTTCTTATTGGACAAAACAATAAAACATCTTTTAAGAGACTTTCAAGTGTTTTGATGAACTGATACCCATGACTATAACATTGGCACAAATGAAGTAAATTAAATAAAGAAATCCTGATGATGGTATTTGGACGATTGCCCAAAACCATATGTCAACTGACTCCTGCAAACCTCTGTAATCTTTATGCATTGTATTTTATGAAACGAATCTGACTGTATTGGTTTATGTTCAATTACCTGTATACTATGCATCTGTATTTGAGCTGTGCCTTCAGTATAGCTATTTGCTCAACCTGAGATTCTTATTACTGCAAATAAGACTAACTTAAGTGTTTTTTGGAACATCCAGCACCTGACATGATTGTACAATCTCATCATAGGGGTACAATAGGTGCCTATGTTCTACAGAATACACAGCTATGAATAAACATGCTTGGTATCATGATTACACACCTTTTATTAGATGAGAAAAATACAGTAGAAAATATGAAGTCAAATTTTATAAGCACTTAAATGAAGGGTAACAGCAGCCACAGATGTATGTAAAGAGTGCATATATTGGTTTCTTCCTGACTACTCGGTCAGCAGCCTCCCCATGTGAGTCGAGCCACATGGTCAGTCTTCTGCTTGGTGGCCTTAATGAAGCCTAGAAATTCCAGCTCGGACACAGCTTGGATGAAACGAGCACTGGAGAAGAAACTAAGGAACATCATTACTCAAATGCGGATTATACTCTTTATAAAAGTGAAATTCTTTAAAAACCCCATCTGTCATGAAACTTCACGTTTGTTACATGTCCCTAGAGCACAAACTTGGACAGTTACACTCACCAGCCACTTTATTAGGTACACCTGATTTCTTGTTAACACAAATAGCTAATCAGCCAATCACATAGCAGCAACTTAATGCATTTAGACGTTAAGACAACTTACTGAAGTTCAAACCGAGCATCAGAATGGGGAAGAAAGGGGATTTAAGTGACTTTGAATGTGGCATGGTTGTTGGTGCCAGATGGGCTGGTCTGAGTATTTCAGAAACTGCTGATCTACTGGGATTTTCACACACAACTATCTCTAGGGTTTACAGAGAATGGTCCGAAAAAGAGTAAATATCCAGTGAGCGGCAGTTGTGTGGGCGACAATGCCTTGTTGATGTCAGAGGAGAATGGGCAGACTGGTTCAAGATGACAGAAAGCAAACAGTAACTCAAATAACCACTGGTTACAACAATACCATCTCTGAACGCACAACACGTCGAACCTTGAAGCAGATGGGCTACAGCAGCAGAAGACCACACCGGGTGGCACTCCTGTCAGCTGAGAACAGGAAACTGAGGCTACAATTCACACAGGCTCACCAAAACTGGACAATGGAAGACTGGAAAATGTTGCCTGGTCTGATGAGTCTCAATTTCAGCTGTGACATTCAGATGGCAGGGTCAGAATTTGACGTAAACATGAAACCATGGATCCATCCTGCCTTGTATCAACGGTTCAGGCTGGCAGCGGTGGTGTGGGGGAGATTTTCTTGGTACACTTTGGGCACCTTAGTACCTGACCATGTCCATCCCTTTATGACCACCATGTACACATCTTCTGATAGCTACTTCCAGCAGGATAATGCAACATGTCACAAAGCTCAACTCATCTCAAACTGGCTTCTTCAACATTACAGTGAGTTCACTGTACTCCAACGGCCTCCACTGTCACCAGATCTCGATCCAATAGAGCACCTTTAGGATGTGGTGGAACGGGAGATCGCATCATGGATGTGCAGCCAGAAAATCTGCAGCAACTGCGTGATTCTATCATGTCGATATGAATCAAGTCTCTGAGGAATGTTTCAAACACCTTGTTGAAAGTATGCCACGAAGGATTAAGGCAGATCTGAAGGCAAAAGGGGTGTCCAACCCGGTCCCAGCAAGGTATGCTTAATAAAGTGTCCGGTGAGTGTATATTAGTCTATTTCCAAAAAATCATCACAACATTTAGCCAGTATTAAAATGGTGGAAGAGCATGATGTTAAAAATATGGGTAGATAAAGTTCCTGAAGGATACTGTTTGTCTTCCTCCACCTTCCCGAAAGTGTCAGATTCTGGGTCGTTACCCTCAGCAGCAGAAACCACAGTGGCGTAGGCCTGAAAACACACAGGTTTGTATTCGTGTCAGTATCCAGTCCACTCTGTGCCAATATTTGATTTACAAATCAATAATGTGACATATTGATCCTCTGGATCAATAAAAGCCTTTGCTAAAGGATGAAAAACAAACTTCCAACAATCAAAGTTTGTAGGGCAATATTGAAACGTGCCAATAAAACAGAACACTGTAAAATCATCATCTCTAGTCACTGGATGATGTAGTTTAAGCACATTATTAGCCAAATATCAAATTATTCAGTATATACTCACTTCCAGCCAGTCGTAGAGGTTAATCAGCCTGCCACACTCCAGATGGAGTTTGTACACAATGCAGATATCAGGAGCAGCGTTAGAGACCGCTCCATCCTCAGTCTTTAGACTGTCATTCTACAAAGAAGAGTCATAGGGAAGAGGAAAATTTTTCAATGTGCGTGTCATACATTTTAAAACATTCAAAGGCAATGGCATTGTTTAAAGAGGCAATATTATGCTCATTAACAGGTTTATATGGTTTAATTTTCAAAAAACACCTTTTTTTTTTTTCATACTGCACATTGCTGCAGCTACTCTTTTCACCGTGTGTTGAAGGCTTCGTTTTAGCTATGGAGTGATACATCTGGTCTCTAAATGATCTAGCCAATCAGAAGCAGAGAAGGGCGGGTCAGCGAGAAGCCTGTAAAACAACTTCGGTTCAGCTGTATATGTTGCCGACCAACATAGACTGGAGCAAGAGTTTCAGAGTGGTGAGTTATTATTCTGTAACAAATGCATCTTTCATCCATAAAGTTTTAACTGAGCTCTGTCTCTACATCACAGTAACAACTTTATGTCCATTGAGTGTCTGGAGGGTAGCTAGTGTTTGGAAGGGAGAGGAGGTGTGTGCTGCAGCTCAGTGTTTTTCCACCTGTGTTTTTGAGGGCGTATCGGAGTAGCCGCTTGGCGAGTTATCTGAAGTGTATTTAGCTTTCATCCCTGTGTCCTCACAGGCAGCTGGACTACAAACGAGCTGTTTTCAAGCAGTTCAGTGCTGTGTTTTCTGTGGGAGATGGGAACTGACTTTGGGCTTTTTCACTTTGCAAACCTAGTACATGCACAAAAAAGATACATAACTCAATAAAGAAGAGGGAAAAAGACAAAAAGCATAATACCACCTCTTTAAGCTATATCTAAATCACTTTACATATATACTTCCATTACGTTGAGTTTCTCCTCGTGTTAAGATAGTCGCACACAATGAGATTAGGCAGACGTACCTGAAGATAATAGTAGGGACTGCTGAGTGCAGCCTGAATGGAGGTGCGAGGTGTTGCGTTGAGGTGGCGTCTCACAGTGGCAGAAGAACTGTAGTAGCAAACTTCATACAGTGTCTGCGACTCTGGAGGAGACAGGTGACTCCTGGGTGGGAGAGAAAGAGAGAGGTCAGCCGAAGAAGAGTTTCTACCATATTTAATTGTATATAACACTACACTATCCCAATAGAGCAAAAAAAGGTTATGTCTTACTTCACTAAGCTGTCAATAAACTCAAGAGCTTCATTTCGTAGAGCCTCAAACGGACTCAGTTTCTTGGATCTCCGAGACTCATTCATCTCCAGCAGCGTCTGGAATACATGAGAAGAAGCAGAAAATTTATGAATCAAAGCATTACCGCACATCAGCAAGGTGGAGAATCTCTTCATAGAAAGAAGATACTATTTATCATAAAATCATAAAAAACCTTCTGTAGCTGGAACAGATCTGTTTTCTTTTGAAGATTTCTCACTGGAGAGGTGATACAGTCTTCCACACAGGGAGGAGTTTCAGCAGATACTGCTGTTAAGAACAAGACAAGAATTTCAAGGAGTGTTGCGTATGCAGTACATTTCCACTGCCTATTCCACCTGTAGTAATAATTGCTTGACATGAGAGGCTATCCCAGGGTGAATGCAACATGAAGGAAAAATCAGACTACCAAGAATAATGTAATTTGGGTGCTCTACTTCATTTTTACTACTTACTGTCCAGCTGCTCGAATTTGGCAAGCAGGTCTTCCAGCTGAACAAGAGCGTTCTTCATCTTCTTTGACTTGACAGGCCGCATAATCTCGGCACACCTCTGTAGCAAAGCGATCAGCTCATCTTTAGCCAGCATCCTGGAGGGAAACCACAGGAGGTTTACAATTGTTAGAACGGTACAGCAGCAGCCTAAGTGGCTAACTTCAGAATGGGTTGTTGCTGGACTAAAATATCTGGTTTGTTCAGGGGAAGCCCTCATGCTCTTTCACAATAAAAAAAACAAGTGTGGAACAACAGAGGCCCAACACTACTATTTTACTGTATATGAATGGCTATATGGCCACCAGGGGGCTCAATAATCCTCCAAATCTCCCTGAACATGTTGCCATCTGGTGGTAAAATGTGTTAAACGTTGAAAGAACTACCACAATTATGATTGCTACAAATGAGATATGATTATGACAACACGTCAGAACTGGAGGGCCTTAGTGGACAAGCATGAAACTGCCTAGAGTTTTGATTTAGATACTTTAAGACTGATGATGTCGTCCACTGATTGGTCCCCACTTGTTCACATACAGGCTAAGTTTCCAAACCTACTTTAGAAGCTTCATGGCTGACTGGTAATCCTCATTTTCCCATAAGTTCTTCTCCAGACAAATTAAATGGAGCTCTCGGATCTGTAATACACAGATAATTCATACACCAAGCCAAACACTAAAAGAAAACATTTCCAAAATTTATTTTGTTTTTACAATCATAAAGCAGTCATTTCTTGCCTGTTTTCCAAGGGGGTACCGAGGTAAGGATGAGGCCAGCGTGTGGAGACACCTCAGGATGGGATAATAGTTCTTGTGGTATTTCCGAAGGTCCTTTACCAGCTTCTGACACACCCCCTAAAAACAGAG